GTTAGTTATCTAAAGTTAAGTTAAGTTAAGTTAAGTTAAGATAAAAAACCAACTAATTCTACATTCACTGCTCCTAAATCTAAAAATTTGATGTTTTGGAAGCCAAACATGGTCTTTGGAATCTCTTAAGATCTTATTAACCACACAATGCTTATTTGCGAAATTTAGAAATTGAAATAGTTCACAATCACCGGTAAAAGGATATATTCTTTATAAAAAGCTAGGGCCAAGTGTGTAAAATTTTTAAACTTCACGGTAATTTCTTAACGTATAGAACCACTTTGTTTTTAAAGTAACTGAAGTAGGTATTACCGAAAAGTTTAGATATGGAGCACGAAGATCATATTTTGAGCGAAAAGAAATTGCGACCCTGGATACAGAATAGCATTTAATATAAATCCTACACCGAATAATTAAGTCAACATGGTTTAGTTGAAAAAAGAAACTACCGGCTAGCTCTTATACAACGCACAAAGACAGTTGTAAACAAACAATCACTCTGAAGTGCTTTCTCAATTTAATGACGATAAAAAGGTGGTATGTTTCAAGAATACGTTTCGTTAAATAAAGTGAATACAGAGGAATGAACACATAAAGCAATACGTGAGCAAATTTGGTGGGTAAAATTTTACACCATATAGAGTAATTGAGAATCACAAATTAGAGAGTTATGTGCAGCTTATATTTGAAAATGATGAGAGAACGAAGCGAAGTCCTATTAAAAAAATCATCGTCAAAAGCATGTCAAAAAAAATCAAAAACAAAACAAGAACGAAAAGGAATATAGACAAACAGAAGCAAAACGGAAGAGAAATGTAAAATAAATTTGTGACCTATTGAAAATAATATAAAAACATGAGAAGAAAAATCAGCATCAAGAGTTGAGGTCAATCAGCTAGGTTTACAACTATGGGATACTTCCATCTTTCAGCGCAAATGTGGTATGGCCACTTAAAATGATCCCGACTGTAGCTGCTACCTTGACATGCTGGTCAGGGTTGTCCATCGTGATGACGCGACCGAGCAATATTGGCTGGAACATATTTTCCTGTAGGTTCTACCATGCCAGGAGGGTCGATTGCAGAATGGTGGCAGGAAAATAAATTGCAGAATGTAAACAGTACACCGGTATTATCCAGTGAATACCTGACATCGATCAATTCATGTTAGCTCATTTTAGTGTTATTAGTCTCCACAAACACCAATTTGGCCTGATTAGTAAATGTATCTAGCAGCACTAGGTGGTCAAACAAAGAGGACACTTTCAAAAGCAATACCCCTTCGAATAGCTGGTTCACTAAATTTATTCACTACACAGCCCAATGCGCCATTCATTAAGTTCCACTGCGAAATTTCCCATGTGGACGTAAACTTTTTAATTAGGATTATTTTCTTACCAGCAACACATTTTGAGAAATATGGTAGAAATAATAGTATAATTCTGTCACCAACTTAAACACTCCAAAAGAGCCATTAAAACAACACTGCCTACTGGCAGTGTAGGGAAAGTCAGTACAGATAATGATCTGATCCCATATCAAGATCATGGAGATTAGGTAGTCATATCATAGTGTATTGAGCACATTACATTGGAGCCATTAGTCTGAAGAAGCAGATAATTTAACCAAAACCGATATTAGACCTACATACACATCTTCTGAAATCAATTCATGAGCCAGTCAATTCACTTTCCTTGTCTCAAAATAGGTGGTCACTGCCCATGTTTCACAGCCATAAAGTAAGACGGAGCGAACTACTGCACAGTACACTCTCCCTTTGATTAGCAAACGGTTATCTCGCCTACACCATAAGTGACGCAGGTTGGCAAAAGCCAATCGAGCCTTCTGTATCCGTGCTGAGATTTCGCCAGTAACCAGGCCATCAGCACTGATGAGACTCCCAAGATAAGTGAAGCGGTCTACACGTTCGACCACTTCACTCCCTATCACTAGTTCAGGTGCCGATGAAACCCAATCTTGAAGCAACATTTTGCATTTCGAGGGGGAAAACCGCATCCCGAACATGCTTGAATTGTTGCTTAGGGTGGTCAGAAGACGCTGCATTTTGTCAGCATCTTCACCAAGTAGGACTATGTCATCGGCATATTCTAAGTCAATAAGCGAGCCACCTGGTAAAAGGTCTACTCCAGAAAATTCAGACGAGGATAAGGTTATATCTTGGAGCGTGTCTATGATAAAATTAAACAAGAATGGAGAGAGTGGACATCCCTGACGGGCACCACTTGAAGTAGAGAATTCCGGTGACAGTTCGCTATAAGCTCTCACCCGACCAGTGGTGTTCGAGTAGAGAGCTTGTATAAGGTTAATGTACTTCTTTGGTACACCATTCAATGACAGACACTGCCACAGAACCTCACAATCCACTGAGTCGAATGCCGCCTTAAGGTCCAGGAGCACAACTATTGTAGGACGCCTAAATGTATATCTGTGTTCCAGCACCTATCGTAGTGTGAAGATGTGGTCTATACAACCACGTCCAGGTCTGAAAACAGCCTGGTTTTCCCGAGTCTGCTCTTCACGAGCTTTCGTTAAGCGTCGAAGTATTATTGAGGCCAATATTTTAGATACTATATTAGTTAGACTTATTCCCCTGTGATTGTCACCAGAAGACTTTTGTCCTTGCCTTTCAGGATGACTGGAGATCGTGGGTAACCGAAGTGTGGCTGAAGGCTAGTTGAACTGATCCCTAAAGTGTTCTGCCCATCGGTCCAGTCTCCTGGATTGAGAATGGATTCTGTGTACTTAAAACCTAACATGTAATCATTAATTACGTCTATGTTTCAGTAAACTGTTGCACTGAAAATCTAGTGATCTATAGAACAGAAAAACGCAACTCGTCTGTGCATAAGCCATGTGTAATCAGTGAATAAATTCAGAATTAAATTTGCTCTTGCAATTTTTAACATTGCACTAGGGAGCTGTTATAATGATTCCTGAGTTTGAGCCATTAGTTATAGGTGTCTGAATAGAATCAAACAGCGTATAAATGAAGTTTAGATATTTTCGAAATATCCACTAAGTAGTTCCAGATTCTATGTCATTTACGATTATACCATCAATAAATGTTAACCGCTATAGATAACTTTGCTCTGGTAAACGATTCGTATAGTTAGTTGAAAATACAAGTTCAACAGTTACCACTCATCAGTCATTGCACCAAGAACCTACGTTTTTGTTTAGAAACTAACTGATATAATAGTTTAAAACATAGATAACAATCAGATCAATGATTAATCGACAAACATTAAGATTTACCTAGAATAACGAAGACTGATAACAAATTAACTTGAAAACAGTCCCTATTGCAAATTGAAATTACATGATAACACTCAGCAGTTATTTTCTTGTAACATGAAAGTTATCATTTTTGAAAAGTATCCAAAGTAACTTGAATATCTTTTCTTTTTTCGGGATTTTAATGTACCATTGAATTCATGATTGTGTGATAGGAAATTACTGGACGAACATAACTGATCTGAGTGAATATGTTTACTTAATGACTTCCTGGTTTCCATCGACTACAGGTTTTGATAATTTACATAAAATTTCAAATAAACCATGTATAGAAAAACTAACTGATCAAGTGTCTTAGTAATTACATGTTAGTTTCTACATGAAAAAACCAGGGTTTCATGGAGTTTCATGGTGTCAACTGAATATGAATTTGGTGTTTCACGAATTAAGTCAGAAAATATAGATTTAGAACTGTAACACTGGCGAAGTGATACAATCATAGCCGTATTACCCGATGATTTTGAATGACAGCTTACACGGTTTGGGGTTGATATCGATGTCAAGTCACTATCTTGGACTAAACATCTGTACCAATGTAGCGAACGATACTAGCATCAGTTTATGGGGGAGTTTAACTTCGGTAACTGAAGTGACTAATTATGTAAACAATAACTTACTCGTTTGACCAAAGATTTAGTGTGTTCACTCAATATCACGCATCTGAAGTCCAGTGTTAAGAATGATTATATATGTGATAAATTAGATAGCAACGTTAAGTAGTATGATAGTGGTGTATTTGGGATAAACAAAAAAACTGTACAGCTAAATACCACACATCGTGAAAATTTGAGTGAACTGTTAGGTGAGGTATATAAATGAGCAGCACGCCAATTAGAAAAGTAAGCGAACGCGATTAGATTTGTTTTGAATAAGAAGGTAAAATAAGTATTATGGGACAAAATATATATAAATTGCTTTGTGTGTGCGCAGAGAGCATAACTATTAGGTAGTATGGACAAAATATGGTCAAGGAAAAACACAGCCGTAAATTTACTTTCAAACCAAAATATATTCTAATTAAATAGAAGACATTCAGTTGAAGCAAACTAATAGAGGTAAATAAATCAGAGTTAAGAAATAGATATTTTAAACATTGCATAAAGTAAGAAAATTAATCCAATATTCTAAAAAGATTGAACAGCTAAAAATGAGTTTACAATTGTGGAATCGGTTGTAAAAACAGGGAGATACAGAGAACCTATAAAACATAGCGAACAAGGGAAAGAGAAACATAATATACCATACTCTGCGTCCATATGGGAAGTAAGTTTGAGGATATACATGATTATGTATGAAGGAAAACAGGGACTAGTTTTGCTTTAAGAATTGAAATTAGAAAAGCAGTGTGCCAAGATGCTAAAAGTAACCTAACCATGAATGGAAATAAACTTATTTTAAATGAAAACGGAAAAGAATGTATGGCAATGTGGTAGAAACAAAGTGATGCAAAAGTGATACATCATAACTAAATTTTAATGATATATTAGTAAGGACAAAATAATAAACAGGAACCAACGAACTCTAGGAGATATTACATTTTTGTTTGAGTCCCTCCAAATGACTCAACAGATTCCTAACGTATCCAAAACAAATACTAACTGAGTATTCTAATTCTACAAAGGTGATCAACTGAATAACTGATAAATAATCATTCACAGATATCTATTAAATCATTCAGCATCCCACTTAGGGAAGGGGTCGGTTAAAAATGTTCTGTTGGCAGGGGGCGATATTACTAGTTGACTGAATTGTTATAGGATGCGAAAGAATGACAGCAGGTAGGCATGGAGACATAATAGTTGCGGTGGGACCAGATAAGAACGAAGTAGATCCCAAAGATTTTGCTGTATGGTTAGATGGTTGTACAGACTGAATTGGTTGCAAACCGAAGTGACTGGAGGCAGACACGTTGTTAGAAAGTTGCATGGACGGTCCAGATCGGGCTACTGGGTGAGGGGAACAACGAAATTCACCGGTGTTGTTCGCATGCGTTGTTATTACGGTTGCAGTAGATAAAATGGGCAAACTGATAGTCGATCGATCAGTAAGATCCATATGCTGATCGAACGAACTGCGCTGAACCCAGTTTAGGGGTTGAGTTGGAGTCTGGGATCGTATAGGATGCTGGTTACGATCCTGGACAAAAAGTATGGGGACCTCATTATTTATTACGGAGGGTCCAGGGGTTAACAATGAAACATTAAGCTGTGAATGAGTCACAGGTTGCTTGTAATTGAGAACAGTAGGAACAGTTGTGCGAGATGAGCAAGGAATAGAATTAGTAGATGACGGGATAGCTACTTTGGAAGAAGAAACTGATTTCACAACTTGAAGTAAGGGTGTACGCTCGTTGCTGGTTTCCAATGATTTAGGATGAGAAATAAGAATGTTGACAGGAAACGATGACCCATTCGATGAAGAAACATTAATTGATTTCGAATAAACTAGAGACCGAGGAATTTGCAACTCTGAAGTTTTCATTACTTTTGGAAATGAACCATCACTACTACACTGAGTCATATAGAAATTGTTAGATTTGAAAGGTTCACCAAATGACGTACTTTCTGACGTAGAGTTTTTCTCCGTAACACTTGTCGATGGTGAAACATCGTTAGGAATAACAGATGCAGAAGCAGTGATAGGAGGGTGTTCCACACTTGATGTACATGACGTTGTCATATGAGACACGTTATTGACCCAAGAAGTTAAATTAGCCTGTGAGACAGAAACTGAAGTTTGTGTTGAAACGGAAGGTATAATTTCGGATGAACAGGTTACAGGTGCTCTGCACAAAATCATTTGAGATTTATTTGCACCAGGGATGAGCAGAAACTGTTGCTGAGTAATTGTAGCTTTTGGATTTAAACTCTGGAGGAATGCGACAGCTTCAGACAAATTATCGCCATCAACAAAGAACGCACGGGTTGTTGTGGAAGAGCGACTTTGCTGTGAACTAGAAGTAAGTAGTTTGGTAACACTGGATACAGATGTCAAAGGGCTGATAGAGATGGTGTCAAGAGATGGAACAGATTTTACTGTTGCTTGAATTGAGCAAGTGATAGGTTCCATAGCAGTAGGAAGAGAATGGCATGCTGATTTGGACAGCATTAAAGCTTCCGAGACTACAGAACTTATGCTACTCGTAGGGAAGCCACTGCCTGAAACTGGATGATTCAAAACTTGTGAAAAGGACGAATCAGAAGTGCTCGGTCGGACACTAGATGGTACTGAGGACTTACCAGTAAATACTGGAGATGGGTATGAACCAAAAGACACAGTTGGACTGACTTGGGACGTGTGTAAAGGAGCTGAAGAGCTGGAACATGGTTCTAAAGATGAAAAAGAATGCCCTGGTTGGTGTAAGTAATTTGTAAAATTCTGTTCTGACTGAGGATTAGAGGGAGTAGGTGGTGCGGAAACACTCTGTTCGAGGCGATGTGTTTTAGTGGGATGCACAGGACTGGGTGACTGTGAAAAGAGTGAATGTTGCAGAACGATGCCAGCATTTGAGTTTGGCAGATGAGGAGAAGACGGATACGACTGAGTAAAACTATTAGAGTAGCAAGAGTAGCTATCGAGGTTGCTGATGTTGTTGTTGTTTGTAGTGATGCCCTCAGAATAAGAGTTGTTAACAGAGACTAATGGAGACATGACATTATTACTAGGAGCAGAATGTGGAGAGTAAGGGCTTCCAGATGCCAAATTAGGTTCAGTTAACTCTTGAGTTTCACTCTGTACATTAACAGAATGGACAGTTCTGTCATTTGATGGTGGTGAGATAGAATTTCCGAATGAAGGCGAAGAAACAGACGGTGACTGTTTATTTCCGGTCTCACTTAAAGGGGTAAAATTGATAGGCGTAGAGTAATTGCGATTCTGGAAGTAACCACTTGAGCCGCTTGACGGATGTGGAGTCATACTGCCCGGCAAACCATAAAAACGTTGACCTACTGTTCCGCGTTCAGATTCTTTTAGCATACGTTTTGCCCGCATTTTTTCTCTCATGGCAGCTAACGTTTTTGTTTGTCTAGGCGGAGGCATAGAAGGAGACCCACCAGAACTATTAGAATTGGAAGAACGTGATGGTCGTGTAGAACGTAAGGAACTAGTGGTGCTGTTTTGTCTGTTAGAAGCAGGATTTACCAGCTTTGAATCCAGTGAGAGTCGGCGTGCATGAGTCTGTAAATAAATATTGTATTAATTGAGAAAAAGATATTTTGAATTGACAGAAAAATATATACATGCACTTATTGTAAGGATGTTTATTTTAGACTTGTTGTGGAAAGCTTAACAGTATTAAAATATGAAACATGCACAGTTAGTTATCAGTGGGTTAGTATGTACAGCTTTACTGTTTGTCAGTTAGTTTTTAACGGTAATTTCATACTTTCCCTCAAATAACTATTAACAGTTTATTCAATTCAATAGTATTTACATACTGATAAAGATTCACGAACTGTAGTACAATATAGCCTGAGGTTTTGCTTGTCTTACTGCATTAGCTGTGAATTACAACACTCGGGTGGTTAATGCCGTGCGTTTGGCCTTTTGACTATATGATTAAAGGTTTGTGGAAGTGGTAACTTTCACAATTTACCGACTGAAAAATACGACAACAAAGCTGTGACCATATTTTCTTCTGATTTTATGGTGACTGGTGCTAATAAATTGGGTATTTTTAGGTATTCATTTTGTGTGGATACAGTTATATATTTTGAGATTATTCTTATATCCTTTTACTGAACAGAATCTGAGAGTCCCTTAATACTCGAATGGAAACCTTGGGACATTCAACTGATGCGCTAAACCAGTGGTCACCAAAATGATAACGAGAATGGTCTGTATCCATGAAAATAATTAGTAAACTAATGGATTATTGTGCTTAGGCAATGACTGATATGGTCATCAATCTCAAAAACCTTTAAAACCTCAGTGCGAATCCAAGTATCGACTTCTCACCTACTGATGTGACCGATTAGTTAAATGAAATATTCACTTGGTAATTGTAGTGCTCAGCGTAGTTATGCGCTTTATCACATTTGTAATTTTAACAGTAGAAGATGAAATTTATGTTTTAAATGTTAGATCTAGTTCACTTATCAATGTTTGTACCCGAATGATGTAAACAAGTTTTTAAGAATGCTGAAATCAGCTAGTAGGCGAAATATATTTCATTGATTGAAGTAGCTAAATTTGGTCATATCAAGCCTTTGACCTACTAACAACTACAATAGTTAATTTCTGTAAACGGTAACTTGATAAGCAATAGCTTATGAATGGATCACCACAAATGTTCGGATATATTATTGAGCTGTAAATGATAGGTAACATTTCGTGCTTAGTTAAATGATTACAGACAAGATTAAATAATTTGAGATAAATACCTTAGTAGGTTATGAACTCACCTAATAATAAAACCTAACATCTGACCTTTATGTCTTATGAGACACTAAGCTCCAATTTATCACATAATTAAATGCAAAAACAGAATTCCGTTTACCGAGGTGATACACAAGTTTGTTAGAGCTCACTTTTAAATTCATATTATACCGCTCTAAATCAAAAACTTGATCAGTTAAAAGCGATTGTAATAATAAGTGTTATAAGAATTATCAACAAATACTAAAACTCACTGGTTTTGTATTTGGAGAATTTGTCAATTTATTGCTTTCTGATTCAAGTGTCTTATCACAAAGTTTTAAACCTTTATTTGGATCTCCTACAGATCGTGGTGAAGCTAATGTCGCATTGTAAGCAGGACTCAGTGGCAGAGAATGATCATCACGATTTCCGTCAGATAAGCAACAAACAGCGTCTGTGAATTCACTGTTTTCCAGATCAGCTGGATAAAATGATTTGACTGAGCTACATATACCATTATCTACAGTGTCGCCCACAGGAAGAGAACTGGGTTCGGACAAATCCGAAGTTTTATTCTGGTTGTTATCTTCAAACTCAATGTTGTTGGATTCTATAAAACACTCCGACTTCACTTTGAATTTTTCTCTTGGTAGTATTGGTGAAGGGGAGCAGACTATCATGGATTTATTATTGCTATCACTCTGCAAATGTGAAAATTTTGAACTTTTATTTCTTTTGCTTTGAGAATTCTTCGTAGATGAAGCAGAAACAGAAACTGTTGAAGAAATGAGAGAGGCGTCTACTGGTGGCGAGTTCGTAAAAACTGGTGCATGATGATGAAAATCGTTGTCGGGTGCGTTACCATCGAAATTTTTTGTTTTCGGTCTCGATGAACGACGTGAATTTGTTTGACCAGACTTTAGGAAAACAAGAATGTGATTATCAGTTATAAGAATGAGCAAAACTATGACCTGACTCATAAATACAAAGTAATAAACAAAAGACACAACAGGACATGTTTTCTATCCACATGAAAAAGAGGTTTAGTAACAACAGTATACATTTTACGATAAAATATGCCAAATGCTTTTCGAATGATAGCAATTAGGAAAAGTAACAACCCGAAATCTTCTCTAAGCTATTATAGTATTTTATTAGAGGTTATCGTGCCACCTTACCCGAATTTTCAGTTTCAGGAGAATTCGCAGATTAAAAGGATTACCATTTTTGTCATCGTTGTACTACTATTACTACTGGTTAAATACTTGCTTCTGACTTTGCTTTTCACAGGTTAGGAGAGAGATTTGTAACAAACAAACGAAAGCTGTGGTACTGCTACACATAGAAAGATGTCACCGTGACAATGAGAATGGCGACCATGATCAATCGATTAAATATTGTGATTAGTCACCATTTATTTTAGTAACTTGAAATAGGAGGGGTTAAACAATTATCAATTCTTTACAAGTAAACTATATATATATATATATATATATATATATATATATATATATATATATATATATACCCTCATTCGTTTTAGTGAAGAGAGGCGGAAAGTTCAACCAAGAATAGTTTTCAAGATGCAGTTGTTAAGAATAAAGTCACTTTGAAAACTGATGTCAGTGTTATGATTTGAACTAAACGCAGATTACTGCTACGGCTATGGCTATTTGTTCCGATTGGAGAATAACTGCTACCTGCTACTTATTGCAACGAAACAAGACTAGCACACCGATGCAAGGAAGTAAGCAAGACTGTACAGGAAGACTTACTTATTTGTCAATTACTAACGATGACTTGCTAAGTTAACAGACTTGACTGAGAAATATGACATTCAGTCAAAGGAGATCCTCTCACTTTTAAGAAAGCTACAGTAAAATCGTCACTAGCTTATATTCTGAGCTATCTAGGTGCTGGTAATTCAGTAACATTTGAAAAGCTGTAGGTTAAATAAAGATATACAAACAGCGACAACAATATTTTGTCATATATTAGTGAACTTATTCAACTTGTTTGCATTCGCATCAAAAGAGAAAAATGAACGAGGGAACACCAATAAACAGTCATTCAACAACAACATAGAACTTCGTACGTACGCACGTACATCAGTTCAAGTTGCCATAACACTTTAGCACAGAGACGTAACTGTCAATTCAAATCCTTTAGTAGTAGAGTTAGTAGAGGTATTAGCAGTAATCGGAGAGATTAAGGTTCGACGATATTATTCAAGGAGAATCCAGTGAGACTTAAAAAGAAAAAAGTAAAGTGATGAGGAACTACTAAGGTTAGGATTTAAGGGAACACAAAGAATGAATGCACCCTAGCCATTGCAAACGCTTTTAAGCCTTGTTATTCAAGGTCTCTTACCGTCGATTATTATCATCTCGCGGACCACAACCAGAGAGAGTCGACAACTACCGACATGACTCAGTCCACTTGTCAGTGACTTCCTCGTCTGAATTTTCAAGAGTAGACCTTCTACCAGGTAGCTCGCTTATCGACTTAGAATATGCCGATGACATAGTCCTACTTGGTGAAGATGCTGACAAAATGCAGAGTCTTCTGAACACCCTAAGCAACAATTCAAGCATGTTCGGGATGCGGTTCTCCCCCTCGAAATGCAAAATGTTGCTTCAAAACTGGGTTGCATCGGTACCTGAACTAGTGATAGGGAGTGAAGTAGTCGAGCGTGTAGACCGCTTCACTTATCTTGGGAGTCTCATCAGTGCTGATGGCCTGGTGACTGACGAAATCTCAGCTCGGATACAGAAGGCTCGATTGGCTTCTGCCAACCTGCGTCACTTATGGCGTAGGCGTGATATCCGTTCTCTAATCAAAGGGAGAGTGTACTGTGCAGCAGTTCGCTCCGTTCTCCTATATGGCTGTGAAACATGGCCAGTGAGAGTAGAAGATATTCGTAGGTTAATGGTTTTCGATCATAGGTGTCTTCAAAGCATTGCTCGTATACCGTGGGACAACCGAGTGAGCAATGCTGTCGTTAGGAAACGAGTACTAGGTAAGGATGGCAGGTCAATAGAGGAAGTGGTGAAACTTCATCAGTTGAGGTGGTTGGGACATTGTTGCGTATGCCCAACCACCGACTGCCTCGTCGAGCTTTGTTTTGTAGTGTAGGACTAGGTTGGAAGAAAGTTAGGGGTGGCCAAACCAAAACATGGCAGAAATCCATGAAGTCATTGACGAGTGGACTTGGCCATGTCGGTAATTGTCGACTACCTGGTTGGGGTCCGCGAGATGATAATAATCGATGGTTAGAGACCTTGAATGACATGGCTCAAAATCGTTCGCAATGGCGCCGGTGCATTTATTCTCTGTGTTCTCTCAAATCCTAATCTTCTGGATTCTTCAACACCTCTACTTTCGACTCTCTAAACTTTTCTCACTGAATCATACTTCTTGAATAGTATCTTCTAATCCTAACCTCTCCGATTACTTCTAATTCCCTTACTACCTCTTCTACTATTGGATTTGAATTGACGATTACTTCTCTGTGCTGATGTGGTATGGCAACATGAACTGATGTACTTATGTACAAAGTTCTACGTTGCATCTGACTGACTGACTTCATGGATTTCTGCCATGTTCTGGTTTGGCCGCCCCTAGCTTTCTTCCCACCTACTCCTACATCACAGAACATAGCTCGACGAGGCATTCAGTTGTTAGACATACGTAAAACACGTCCCAACCACATCAAATGATGAAGTTTCATCACTTCATCAATTGATCTGCCATCCTTACCCAGGACCCGTTTCCTAACGATAGCATTGTTTACTCGGTTGTCCCAGGATATACGAGCAATGCTTCCAAAACATCTATAATCGAATACTAATAACCTACGAATGTCCTTTACTCTTAACGGCCATGTTTTGCATCCGTATAGCGGGACGGAATGAACTGCTGCGCAGCACACTCTTCATTTCGTGAGCGGACGGATATCTGACCCACGACATAAGTGACGAAGACTGGCAAAAGCCACTCGAGCCTTCTGTATCCGAGCTGAGATTTCGTCAGTCACCAGGCCATCAGCACTAATGAGACTACCAACGCTCAACTGCTTCACTCCCTATCACTAGTTCAGGTGCCGATACAAGCCAATCCTGCAGCAACATTTTGCATTTCGGCAGGGAGAATCGCATCCTGAACATACTCGCATTGTTGCTTAGGGTAGTCAGAAGACTCTGTATTTACTCAGCGTCTTCACTGAACAGGACTATGTCATCAGCATACCCTAAGTCAGCAAGCGTGTCAACTGGTAAAAGGTCTACTCCTGAAAAGTCAGACGATAATGTTAACTCTAAAAGCATACCTACGAAAAAGTTAAACAAGAATAGAGAGAGTGGACATCCCTGACGGACACCACTTGAAGTAAAGAATTCCAATGACAGTTCGCCAAAGGCTCTCACTCGACCAGTGGTGTTCGAGGAGAGAGCTTGTATAGGGTTAATGTACTTCTCTGGTACATCTTTTAGCGACAGACTGCCACAAAACTCCACGATCCAGAGTCGAATGCCGCTTTAAGGTCGAGAAATACTACTATCGTGGGGCGTTAGAAAGTGTGTTTTTGTACTAGGACGTCGTAGTGTGAATATGTGGTCTAAACATCCACGTCCAGGTTTGAAACCAGCCTGGTTTTCTCGAGTCTGCTCTTCACGAGCTTTCGTTAAGCGCCGGAGTATTATTGAGGACAGTATTTTCGATACTACATTAGTTAGGCTGATTCTTCTGTGATTATCACAAGAGGACTTTTGTCCTTTCTTGTAAATCAGGACAATCAGGGATTGAGACCAGTCAGATGAGATTACGACCAGTTCCCGAATTCTACCTAAGATCTCAATCAATTTTACTGTTCGAACTAGAGCACCATTCTTAAAAATCTCAGGTAAGCCCATCAGGATCCGCTGCTCTCCCTCGATTATATTTCCTATAGCCTTCTCAACTGCATCAAGACTAGGAGGACTTATGTCGATTTGCCATTCAGAATGACTGGAGATCGTGGACAACGGAAGCGTGGCTGAGGGCCAGTTGAATTGATCTCTAAAGTGTTCTGCCTATCGACTGAATCTCCTGGGTTGAGAATGAATGGTACAGCCATCCTTTTCTGAGATGGTTTTGCTAACAGATGGATTTCTAATACCGGTTTCCTTGATAAGGCGAGACAGTTGTCTATTATCGCCTATCGCCGCTTCCTTTTCTATCTCACTTGCTTTCGCTACCCACCACAGTTCGCGCTCGTTGCGTAGGATTTTTTATCAGCCTGCGCTTAAGCTGTCTTCGCTTTTCATTATGTTCAGAGCCAGGTGCGATGAGTTTATGAGCGTCTATCAGTGCAGTGGATGCTACTGAAGTCCGCGGCTTCATCCTAGCCTTATGGTTTACCCTACTAGCAGATATCACTGCTGTTTCCACAGCCTTTTTGATATCATTCCAACCTGCCTCAGAGTGGGCATCACCTACTACATGGCCGCCTAACTGTTTTTCTAGTTGCTGTTGAAATATATTCGTAGTTATGCTATCATTAGGTAGAACCCTAAAAGGTTGTGTTGCGGTGTCTTTCTTACGTCCGGTAAGTCGTAAACAAATACTTGCTCGCATTAGAGCATAATTTGAATCTAAACATGTGCGCCAGAACGAGCTACAGTCCTCTATCGAACCCCTCCATCAATGGCTGATGGCGAAGTGATCTAGTTGGGTCCAGCGTTGAAACGACTTTGGGGGTTACCAGGTCAAAAGATGTTTTTTCTTATGTTTAATTAATGTTTGCTAGGAATAGGCGCTTATCTGAGCATGGTTGCAGCAGACGGTCGCCATTATCTGTTCTTTGAGCCACGACACCATAAGATCCACCCAGGTGTCTTTCCTTTTCACTGAGACTACCTACTTGATCATTAAAGTCACCAGCCACCATTACTATATCCGAGAGCTGAACTTTTTGGAAGGAGTCCAAAAGCTTTCTGTAAAACATATCTTTCACCTCATCTGAACTGCAGTCAGTCTCGGGACGGGCATCCTTTACTACACGGCTGCCTAGCTGTTTCTCGATTTGCTCCTGAAATATATTCTTAGCTATGCCATTATTAAGTAGAACCCTAAGATGTTTCCTAGAGATATCTTTCCTACGTCTGGTAAGTCTTAAGCAATAAACCAATAAACAACATTCATAGTGCGTTAAAACATTTAGGATTTAGAAAACGAAACCCGTTAACCTGATCAAATCAAAACATCGTTTGAAAAAGCTCATTGAAATGTCACAACCATACCGATGATTTTTCTCTAAAAAGAAAGCGCTACTTGGATTCGCAGATTCACGTGGGAATTAACACGCCAGCTCAGTATCAATGGAGAGCTTGAGTGAATCATTTATTTTCAATAAGCATGAAAAGTAATCTAAGCCTGTGCTTATTAGTTACTTATACAGTACCATCTTTAGTATATTCGGCTTTAAATCTATATAACCCAAGATCAAGCAGCAAATACCTATAGTCCTGACGAGTTGTGAAGGGTTATATTTATCGAATTTGAGTTCAAAAGAAAAAGTACTTACCGATTTCTTAGTATGTACTTCATGAATAAATGTTTTATTCTGATTACTATTTGCATTTGATTGGACTAAATCACTGGAAGAGGCGTATCTATACCGGTTGCCTACATGGGCCCGTAGACCAGCTCGATTGCGAATACGTGGGGTGAATTCACCTTTAGCCTGACGGTCAGAAAAATCTTGCAGGGCTTTCGTAAAAAACTCGTTGTTGAGTGCAGTAGGATGTAGCCATACAGTATTTGATTGCTCTGATGAGTCAACCCCAGAAGATAAAGAAAGGGATGGACTATAGTCATTTTCATCAATTAAAACAGAATTATTAAGAGACATCTCTCTGCAATGATCAAACAGTGGTAGAAGTTGAGATAGCATCTGTTGAACATCCAAAGGGAGAGAAGAAAATGTTTCCCGATTTATGAGCAACTGAAAAAAGTAAAATGGATTCGTAGAGAAATAAGGGAGACAGTGGAAACAGAAAACTAACCTCTTACCGTTTTTTTTAAACTTTCAATAAAATAAAAATGAAGGTAAGATTGTTTGTTATTCAATGGCAATACTTTTATATAGAAAAAAAGTTAACTGCAGGAGATAGGATTGTAACAACTAGGAATATATACGCAGAAGTTGAACGGTGACAAATAAATAACTATCAACATTTTCAGACCAAGAAGCATGATATTCATCGAGGATATGAAATTACACATGAGAGCAAGACGGAGCTAATTCGAAACAATATCATATAGTGGGACCTTTAAACCCCACCTCATGAGTGGAATTATAGGAAAATGGAATGTTTATTAATCAATTCAAGTGAGTTCACGCATTGAACTTCACTTCCTGTAGATATTTCCAGTCAGTCAGTCAGTTACAACGTAGAACTTCGCACGTAAGTACATCAGTTTAGATTGCCATACCATATTAGCACAGATACACAATTGTCATTTCAAATCTCATAGTGGTAGAGCCAGTACAAGTATCAGCAGTAATCAAAAACATTAATGATCGAATATATCATTCGAGATGTATACCAGAGAGGAATCGGTTTAAAAATGAAAAAACTTCCATGAGGCATTGACAAGATTAGCATTTGAGACAACACAAAGAATCGATGCAACTGCGCCGTTGCAAACGGTTTCGAGCCATGTTATTCAAGGTCTCTTACCATCGATTATTATCATCTCGCGGACCACAACCAGGTAGTCGACATCTACCGAGATGACTCAGTTCACTTGTCAGTGACTTCATGGATTTCTGCCATGTTCTGGTTTGGCCGCCCCTAGCTTTCTTCCCACCTAATCCTACATCACAGAACATAGCTCGACGAGGCATTCAGTTGTTAGACATACGTAAAACACGTCCCAACCACCTCAACTGATGAAGTTTCATCACTTCATCAATTGATCTGCCATCCTTACCCAGGACTCGTTTCCTAACGATAGCATTGTTTACTCGGTTGTCCCAGGATAAACGAGCAATGCTTTGAAGACAACGACGACCGAATACCAGCAAAATACGAATTTCCTCTATTCTTACTGACCGTTTCAGAACCGATTAGTAGGATGTAGTGAACTGTTGCGCAGTAAACTCGTCCTTTAATTAGCAGATGGATATTTCGCCTATGCCATAACCGACCAAAGTTAGCGAAAGCCACTCCAGCTTTCTGTATATGTGCCGAGACTCCACCACATTCCAGGCCATCAGCACTGATGAGACTTTCAAGTTGATTGAAGCGGTCGACACGTTCGACTACTTCACTCCCTATCACTAGTTCAGGTGCCGATGCAAACCATTCTTGAAGCAACATTTTGCATTCCAAACATGCTTGCATTGTTGCTTAGGGTAGCCAGAAGACTGCATTTTATCAGCGTCTTCACCAAGTAGAACTATGTCATCGGCATACTCTAAGTCAACAAGCGAATCTCCTTGTAGAAGGTACACCCCTGCAGTGAGACTGTTAACTCTAAAAACATATCTACGAAAAAGTTAAACAAGAATGGAGAAAATGGACAACCCTGATGGAAACAACTTGGAATAAAACATTACGATGACAGTTCGCCAAAAGCTCTCACTCGATCAATAGTGTGCGAGTAGGAAGCCCGTGTAAGGTTAACGTACTTCTCTGGAACACCTTCCAATGAGACACTGCCAAAGAACCTTGCGATCCACAGAGTCAAACGCCACTGTAAGGTCAGGGAAAACAACTATTGTAGGACGCCTGCGTGTCTGCATCCCAGCACCTGTGAAAGTGTGGAATATGTGGTCTATACCGCCACGTCAAGGCCTGAAACCAGCCTGGTTTTCTCTAGTCTGCTCTTCACGAGCTTCTGTTAGGCGCCTAAGTATAATCGAGGTTAACAATTTAGAAACTATATTAGTTAGTCTAATTCCCTTGTGACTGTCACAAGAGGACCTTTTTCTTTTCATTTAGAATGAGACAACCAGTGATTGAAACCAGTTGGATGGGGTTACGTCCAGCTCCCTGATTCTACCTAAGACCTCAGTCAACCTAGCTGCTAAAACTGAACCACCATCCTTAAATATCTCAGGGGTCAGTCTATCAGGACCTGCTGCTCTCCCTCGCTTCATATTTCCTATCGCTATCTCAACTTCATAAAGAGGAAAATCAAAGAACATATCACGTCGAGCCGGAAGCAGACATGAAAAGAATAACCAGCAATTTCGTAGAAGTGGGAAGGAAGGCCTAGAACGTTAGGTTGAAGAATGCTGTTTGACGGGCGATGCTCTACTAGGGGTAACAGGCGCAATTACGTATGAAATGGGTTTCAGGAAACTCTAAATATGGTTCTTAAATTAGTTGACAAATTGACTAAGCATCTGATCAAGATCAGCGGTATTACAGTCATATCAGTTAAATCTAGATTAGAGATCGACAGAACATAATGGGATCGACGCAAATCTTTTGGGTGAGAGCAGTTGAATCTTTAGTTTTGGAGATACGAGACCTGAGTATCTATTCTTAGGCATCTTTGATGATGGAAACAAAGATTCCCGAGTGTCAGAGATGTTAGCTACAAGCGATAGTGAAGTTAGAAAGTCTTCTCACATCTTTGCCGCTGACTATTGGATCCCATTAAGTGAATTGAAAACTGTATTCAATTATTTTGATTTCAAGCAAATGTACATAACAGCATATACAAATACAACGGATGAATTTTACTTAAAAGGCAATGCATTACATCAGCAGTCCGCTCCGTTCTCCTATATGGCTGTGAAACATGGCCGTTAAGAGTAGATGATGTTCGTAGGTTACTAGTATTCGATCATAGATGTTTAAGAAGCATTGCTCGTATATCGTGGGACAACCGAGTAAACAATGCTGTCGTTAGGAAACGAATACTAGGTAAGGATGACAGATCAATTGATGAAGTGGTGAAACTTCATCAGTTGAGGTGGTTGGGACATGTGTTATGTATGCCTAACCACCGACTGCCTCGTCGAACTACGTTTTGTGGTGTAGGAATAGGTTGGACGAAAACTAGGGGTGCCCAGACCAAAACATGACACAAATCCATGAAGTCACTGTTTAGTGGACTGCGTCATGTTGGTAGATGTAGACTACCTGGTTGGGGTCCGCGAGACGATAGTCACCAATCGTTAGAGACCTTGAACGACATGGCTCAGGTGCATCCATTCGTTGAGCTAAAATTCTAATCTTCTGGATTTGTCAGCACCTCTACCTTTGTCTTTCTAACCTTATCTCACTGAATTATACTTCTTGAATAATATCTTCGAACCCTAGTCTTCTTCATTACCATTAATACCTCTACTATCTTGATCACTATGGGATTTGATTTGACATTTGCGTCTCTGTGCTAATGTGGTATGGAAACATGAACTTATGTACATACGTACGAAGTTCTACGTTGCAACTGACTGACTGACTGAATGCATTACATCAACTTACATTCGTCAGGTACCGAAAAATGAGATCTACGTAAGTGTTTCACTCGAAGTGAAGACTATGGGAACATTAGGTAATAGAGTATTTTCTAGTGTACTAGAAATGCTTTATATTTATTCAAACACAAACTATCGGATTGATAAGTGGCTTCTGTTTCTGATGTTATTTATTTTCAGTCTTAATCAGTTGAGGTTCAACAACACAAAACACTCAAACTCCTTTTAATTTTATGAGCTACATCACGTGAGAAAAGATCCAGTGGTTTGAACATATTGAATGTGACGCATATCTACTAGGTGGAATATATCCACATTATTGTGAACGTCTGATAAACGTGGACTGGACGAATGAGTCCGCATTCGAGAAGTTGATTTCTGACTTTTATGAACATCAGGCAGCTTTTGGCTAGGTTTGCTTACACTAACAAAATCAAACAGATATATTTAGGTATGAAATGGAACTGTTTAGCATACGGCCAACTCTAGCTCATCGTACTGTAGAAGACATCGTCAGTAGATGCGCAACGTAAGTGGACATGTTACTATCTGAAAATCGTACGTCAGTTGACTTGATACTAAAAGTCACCTGTCGACTCTACGAAAGAACTTAGATGAAAACAATTGACTATAACATACAAAAATTACAGTCAGTTAGAGTAAAACAATTCACAGGACCAGAACCACTTACCTTGAGGTTAACCTTCGTCAAAATCGAATCAGGGTTTTCTAGATCTAGTGTGTCAACAAACCCAGATGACTGTTTCCTTTTGCGTGCAGCCCTCCTTATAGTACATCCAGAAGTAAACCCGGAAAGCTGTCTTTGTCGAGATGGTTTGTTGAACTTAGTTAAGGAGTTGGGATGAGAACTTTTTTGTGAGGCATTTCTAAACATTGAGAAAGAGCAAACACTAACTAAGGACCCAATGTTTGTTTGAAATGAATTATCATCACCGAAATTCTCAACTAAATGCGGAGATTCATTATGCGCAACATTGTAACTTTGGTCACGATCACTACAATGAATATTCGGTGAATGGCGAAGACGAATCCTCAATTTCGGAATAAAAGGTGTATCCCTTGCAGGTTTGGGTGGAATAATTAATTTTGATGTGGCATACATAACCGATGTGACATATATGTAAAAGAGTACCGTGATCAGGTTACTGGAAATTGTTACTTTTGTCCATAATACTTTGGACTAAGGCGGGACATCGAGAGAAAACTAGGACACTTATCAATCCAGGGGGAAAATTGCCAAGCCACATAACAAGTTAGATATCAGATATAAAAGAGCGCGCCAACTCGTCCAACATAAAGTTTAGTAATAACGCTACAATTTGTTGGTTAGAATATATAAGCCATTTCTGGTCATTTGTTACTCTAAAAACAAAATAAACTCTATTGTTAAGTTTCCTATCTAGTGTAAGTCTGAGAGTTTTGATTATTTTAGGGCCAGTGAGCCCTAGTCAAATCAACCTAGAAGCTGGACCTTTCCTGATCACTAAACGTTGTTAGGTTTACCAAACATCATCAACGTCAAATGTGACTAGTACACGCAACGAACAGGAACATGATGCAGCGGTTCAACTCGAATATCTAGGCTACCTGTATCATAACATAAAAATGAAGTTTTTGAGCTCTCTTCGCGATTCCCACTACAACATCTCATTATGGCTTCATTTTGTTGGCTATCCATCATCTAATAGGTTCCATTGTAAGTGTTTTTGATGTCATTCGGATACTTAAAATGACGTTTTAGCTATTCACTCTGTTGTCAATGAATTAATTACGTTGTTTATGAATTTTTAAAGATCTTTTTTTTAGTAACTGTTCATATCATAAGAACATCATTGAATGGAAGGATCAGCATCATACTATTTCCGAAAATACTAGACTGATATTTTAAACCTCTCTATAATCCAGGTTCCAATCTAAGCAATTGTCACTTAATCATTTGAAAAAACTAAAAATATCTCAGATAATCTGATTGCAAGTCAACCAAACACTCATCTCTTCTGATTAGTATCAATTTAAAAAAAAATGATGAGGATTATTGGTTGAGTTATATTTACGAAATATTGTTTTTAGGATATTATTATTCATCTGGATTCTGAGAAGTGTCAAGTGAGATTGAGACTTGGTCACAGTTTAGTCACCTTCAATTCCCATCACTGACAGTTGAGAATTTTGCGA